TATCGTCTACTATAGACCAAAACTTATCTAGGTCTAAATATATATTACATTACATTTCATAACTATAACTATATATAATATCATACTATCACTATACCATCATATTACATCTTACAATTATACTGTAATATACTATATATTAATATAATATAATATATATAATACACTATTAATATTATATATGTATGTATATAATATATATATATATAACCTTGCTTCTTTATTTATATTATTCAATTCCCTATCTACTATAATATTATATTTGGATATATATTATACAACATATAATAATTCTATATACTACTATTAATACTAATACACACTTATACTACCTACTTATACTAATCTACTATATACCATCTTTTATATTGCTATTTTATCATCACATAACACTACCTATATAAACATATACTACCTACCTAACTATACTATTATTGTATTTATTATACTATATATAACAACCATATATATATATATACTATCCTACATGCCTATCTATATACTCACCCCTATATTATATTACACCTATCATCATAATTAGCCTAACTGTGACTATACTAAACCTATATATATATATATACTATATATCATACTCTATATTATACCTCCTACCTACTATTATTATATATATATATTAATATAATATATTAAATGTGTGTGTGTGGTGCACTGGGTGTGTGTCGCTTGTGCGCGTAGTGTCGTGTGTGTGTGTGTGTGTGACATCGTGTGCCCCTGTGTGGTGTGCGTGCGTACTGTGCGGCTCGTGTGTGTTCGTCTGACTCGTGTGCTGTTCGTGTGCTTGTGTGTGCGTGTTGGGCGTCTCGTGGTGTATAGGCCACCGGCCACTCTACCACCACTGTGCCTGTGGTTTGTCGTTGGGTGCTGCGTGTGTAGTGTCCCGGCTCGATTGTGTGTGGTATCTCGATATGCCTTATATATATACACATAAATCTTATCTGCTGTGTGTGCTCGTGTGGTCTGTGGTTGTGGTGTCGTGTGTGTGTGGTGGTGTGTGTGATGGTTGTGTGTGTGTGGAATGTGTGTGGTAATGCCTCATGATACTCATATATGCTATAATGTATAGTGTATACATATGTGTGTGTATTTAATATATATATATATACTCATAATATATAACTAATATACTAATATTATATACCACTATGTCGGTGGTATTGAGCACAACTCTCGTTGTGTGATGTAGTGGCCTGTGATGTGCGTGTCGCTGCTGCTCGATTGTGTCGCGCTGCGCGTGCTTGTCTCTGCCGTGTGTGTGTGTGCTCGCCATGCGACTTTGCTCGTGCTCGCGCCTTCTGTGCCGTGTTGTGCTGTGTTGTATGTGATTATACTGTATAATATAATATATATATATTATATATATAATATATACTAATCATAATATATAGTATATATATTATATATTACCTGTATTGCTATCGCTCCTAGGTATCACTCACACATCGAGCAGACTCACTACGCTATATCTCTCGTCAGTCTCAGCGCAAGCCTAGATCGTGCCACCTCACATGCGTAGAATCATCTGAAATTGTTTAGCGATCGTGGAGCGCTACCTATTAGATCCCTCAGACGAGATTATAATTGCCTGAGTGATCCCTCCTAAATAATCAGATACTACTATATTATCCTTATCATATAATAGATATTCCTACAATATGCGATCCATATACATATTTATCACAATGTACCTCTCAACGTATCTATATATTCACTCATCTTCGCACCTACATATACCCTAAACCTCTAATCGGATGACTTTTCAATATATTTTCTATCACTATTCAGCCTTAACACTATATTAGCTAAATACATCCACTCTATATTAGCACCTGCCCTTCCTCTAACTCATCACTTATGTCACACACCCAATCCCCCAGCCCGTACCACTGCTGACCCAAATATTATAAATCTTATCTTCACTTATATATTTATACCTATGCCCATCCCAACTCAACTAGTACTCTCACCCCTACTCACACAGTACAACTCATATACTTCACCCCACGCATACTCTTCTACCGTATTTCTTACACTCGTTATCATACCAGTACGTATACCCATCAATGCCTGACCTCACGACGGAATTAACCTGCCTACCTATACCGCTCTCTATGACATCATCTCACATACTCAACCTATCATACCCAAATCTCGCAGTAAATACTAATACCACACACACCATATACTAACAATATCACATAATACATACTATTCAACTGATTACTATATAAATAACCCATCCCCTTTTATTTCAATAGCTTAACTTCTATATACTCAACCTCCATCAATATTACATAATCATAGACTTCTATACCAAGCTACATACTGACTCACAAATCCACTAGTATACCAGCCTATCACATCCTACCCACAAGCAACCCGCCCACACACACAACTACTACAGCACACACGAAACACCACCACACACACCACCAACGCGAGCCACACACACCACACATCCATACCACACCCCCCTACCACT